GGCAGACAGTTTCTAAAGCAAAATAATAATCGGTAAATAAATACAACTAGCTCTCACTAGAGTTTCTCACATAGCCACCACCAGACTATTAAAGGTCACCAAAAATTAGTTCGACAAAGTTAGCAGAGCTAGAAGAGTGCAGAAACTTCTATCAAAGATTAGACCAGCTCTAGAGAGAGTGGTGTTGGGGAGGGAAGGCTGTTAGTGGGGAAAAGGCGGAAAGGCAGAATCTGGAGTGTCTAGGAAGCTAGTGGCAGCAGGAAAGCACTAAGTATTCGACTTAACAATAAGGACTCATGGAATAGGCACATTCTTACAGATGTCCCCCTCTTCACACACTTTTTTCCCAACTGATTCTGCCCAAGGTTCTGAAAATGAAAGCTGATTGGTAAAGTACAGCACACAGCATTAGATGTGTGAAGCGGCAGAAGTCTAGCACCATTTCCCAGGTCTTCCTCTCTCCAAACATCTTTGTAGTTCAACTGTTTACCATTCCTACTTTTCTCTGAATAAGGAGCATGCCTAGATAGTTTTCAGTTATGATGTATTTTCTGAGCCAATTCTCTTGAGACTGGCTAATGATTCCTTAGCACAAATAATCAAGAAACTAGTGATAGGCACCTCTGAATAAGGGATTTACTCTTTAATGAGTAAATTCAGGTAGATCAAACTCTCCTCCCACCATGACCATCAATTTTCTCCCTTAAACCATTTAATGAAAAGAGTTCAGAAAAATATAAATCATCTGTTGTTTTTGGCAAAGTCATACCAAAAGCTTGTGCCCACAGAGACTGGATTCAAACCATTTGCCTCCTTTGCTTTAGATGGGACCCACCCAGTGTTCAAGATCTGGCTTTAAGGCATAAATCAGTAATAAAATTCCACATACATCCCCTAAAAGCTATAAAGGAATCATTCCAAGCTCACTTCCTTGTGAAGATTCCTTTGTGTAGTGCCCAAAGGGGTGTGAACCTTTTTGGTTGTAAAGTGGGAGGGTCAGCTCATGTTCAATTCCCTTGCTCTATATTGCTGCTGTTTAATTGCTGACTCCCATTTTATAGCCAAGCCAATTAGTAGCCTTGGCCAAGCGTAAGGAGCTTGGAAGCCTGAAACATGGCACTCAGCTGAGCCTACAGAAAACAGAAAGCCTTTTCTGTCAGAATTTCCCTCATGAGAGAGAGCTGGACCTGGCTACCAAATGTCAAAAGTCTAAAAGGTGGATGTTGCAGTTCAGTATGTAGTATCCCTGGGCACATCAGCAAGCACGTGAATCCCTACTAGATTGAGTGACAGGACTGGTGGCCTGACACAGGTTAGGGAAATTTCAAAAGATGACTATTTCACTCCTCATCCAATTTAGTGAGCAATATTACTCCCTTTTGTCTCTGACCAGCTTAATAACTAACTCCTTTGAGGGCTGTGACACTTTCTGATAATACTCTTGCTGTTAAAAGGATGTTGGGTCAAAGGCTGTCAGTCCCACAGCCTTCTGTGTTACTGGTTTACTCCAGGCACTCTAAAAAAAGCCAAGACCAGGTTAACAGAGAATAAAATAAAAAACAGAGTGAGGCCAGGTGAGGTGGCTCACGTCTGTAATCCCAACACTTTGGGGGGCTCAGGTGGGCGGATCACCTGAGGTCAGGAGTTCAAGATCAGCCTGGCCAACATGGTGAAACCCCATCTCTACTAAAAATACAAAAAATTAGCCAGGCGTGGTGGTGCACACCTGAAGTCCCAGTTACTCGGGAGACTGAGGCAGGAGAATTGTTTAAACCTGGGAGGTGGAGGTTGCAGTAAGCCGAGACTGTGCCATTGCTCGCCAGCCTGGGAGACAGAGCAAGACTTTCTCTCAAAAAAAAAAAAAAGAAAGAAAAGAAAAAGAAAAAGAAAAATGAGAGTGAACAATCTGAGCTTTACTATTTACATATTAAATACAAAGAGGAATTTAGCCTCAGGTCTCCATATCTTTTTTATTTTTATTCATTTTATTATTATTATTATTTGAGACAGAGTCTCATTCCATCTCCCAGGCTGGAGTGCAGTGGCACAATCTTGGCTCATTGCAACGTCCACCTCGTGGGTTCAAGCAATTCTTGTGCCTCAGCTTCCCAACTTAGCTGGGATTATAGGCATGTACCACCACGCCCGGCTAGTTTCTGTAATTTTAGCAGAGACAGGGTTTCACCATGTTGGCCAGGCTGGTCTCGAATTCCTAGCCTCAAGCAATCCACCCACCAAAGTGCTGAGGTGTGAGATATCATGCCCAGCCACTTTTTTTTTTTTTTTTTTTAAGAGACAAGGTCTCACTGTCTTCCAGGCTGGAGTGCGGTGGTGTGATCATAGCTCATTGCAACCTCAAACTCCTGGGTTCCAGCGATCCTCCCACCTCTGCCTCCAAAGTGCTAGGATTACAGGCACATACTATATGCCCAGCTAATTTTTAAAAATTTTTTTGTAGCAATGGGGTCTCCCTATGTTGCTCAGGCTGGTCTTTAACTGGGCTCAAGCGATCCTCTTGCGTCAGCCTGCCAAAGTTCTGGGATTACCACACCAGGCCTCAGATCTTGATTATAGGCTGATTAGTAACCAAGCCCATAAAGCCCCAGAATATAACAGCAAAAAGGCCAGGTGTGGTGTCTCATGCCTGTAATCCCAACATTTTGGGAGGCTGAGGCAGGCAATTACTTGAGCCCAGGAGTTTGAGACAAACCTGGGCGACATGGTGAAACTCCATCTCTACGAAAAACACAAAATGTTAGGTAGGTATGGTAGTGCATGCCTGTAGTCCCAGCTACTTGGGAGGCTGAGATAGGAGGATGGCTGGAGCCTAGGAGGCGGAGGTTGCAGTGAGCTGATATCACACCACTGCACTCCAACCAAGGCAACAGAGTCAGACCCTGTCTCAAAAACATAAAAAAAAAACCCAAACCAGCAAAAAGGCCTTATATAGCCAAGTATGGTTGCCTGTAGTCCAGCTACTCAGGGGGTTGAGGTGGGTGGATCACTTGAGCCCAGGAGTTAAGAGACCAATCTGGGCAACATAGCAAGCTGTTTCTGGAAAAAAAAAAAAAAAAGAAAGAAAGAAAGAAAGAAAAAAGAAAAGAAAAAAAGGAAGGTCCTGAATAAGACTTTTCCAAAAATTTAGAACTTATACCTCTTTTTAAAAAATGTTATCACATCTCAAAATATACCATCATCCAAAAATTAAAATTCTGCTTTGGAGGAACTCAAAATTCATATAAGCCTGTCATTAATTCTCAGTACCTCTGTGAGGAGGTACTAACCTGCATTCAAGGTCAAAGAATGTTTCCGTGCCAAGAAAGGAGTGCCCTGCTCAAGGCCTTAGGTGACAAAAGGTGAGTTCAAAACACTCCTGCCCATACCCCAGCCCTGCCTTTCAGCTCAGTCCAGTTCCCCTTAAGAGCATTTCTGTTAAAGGCCAGCCCTGTTGTTTATTATAGTTTGTATTTAGGGAAACACACTAACATTTTTCTTCCTGACAGTAAAGTCTGAAGTTCTCTACCAATGGGAAAACTTGTGGGGGGTGGCAGGGGTGAATGAAAGCTGAAAATTTCCAAAAACTTTTGGCCTACTTAACTGCCCTGACAGCACATAGTTATTTTGTTTGGGAAAGGAGGGGGTGGACTGTTCTTTCCAAGGGAAGTATAATTAGTTGTTTCAAATATTATCAAAGAAATTTAGAAAATAGTTACTTTTCAAATTTTTTAATGTGGCCAAGACATCTGATTCCAGCAATTCTTAATATTAACAGGCTCCCAAAAAGCCCCTTAAAAATCACTATCATAATCTCTACCACTCAACAGGCACACGCGGGGGGGGGGGGGGGGGGGGGGGGGCGGGGGGAACTACTCTGGTCTTTTGCACACTTCGGGGCTTCTTTTACAGTGAATGACTTCACTGACCTGACTGGAAATCCCGTTTCTCTAGGTCTCACCCTGGATTTGCCCTCCTTTGACTGCTGCACTGCTTTCTATATTTATGCACAAATCAGCTACGGCCACCTTCCTTAGCAATTCCCAAACCTGCCTTTTACTGTACGGGATCCTTGGAGGCCCAATTCTGCTTTCTGGAGTCAAAGAAATACAAAATAAATTTCACTACCTCCCAGAAAACAGATGTTGGTAAGTTTCAATATAAAATAGACAGCTCTTGAACCCAGGAGATGAAGGTTGCAGTGAGCCGAGATCTCGACACTGCATTCCACCCTGGGTGACAGAGCGAGACTCTGTTTCAAAAACAAATAAATGGACAGCTGTGTATTTTTTGGTCACAGCATCAATAAATTTCAGGGCCAGGAAATATCATAAATCACCAAGGCATTCCTCTTCATATAACCAAAATACTTTTTTCCTGTTGCTCAGGAAATTAAGACAAAATGGCCAACTAACACTTATGCAGCCTTACACTGAGAAACTCATAGAAGCTGGTAGGAAAGGGCTAGAGATCTTTGATCTACTGTTAACAAAGAGTATGGGACTCTTTTCAGCTCACCCAGTGCCCCGTATGGATGTTTTTGGGTGCTGATTCTCCTTTAATAACTTCCCCCTATTAAATCTCCTACCAGTCATTTGAGGTTTGGATTTCACCCTAGGGATAAGAGGTGTTTGTAAGACACTCTGAAACCTCTGAAGGGCAAAGGGCAAAGGGACCTACAACCTTCCTGAATACTGAGGGAAGCATAGCTTTCAACAAGTTATTAAATCCAATCAAATGAGATACTCGAAAATGAGCTGCTCTTGGGTGAGTCCTTTCATAAGAAGGAATTTTTCAAAAATCTGCTAACATAATTACTCCACAAAGTTTACATGTATCATATTGCATAAATCTATAAATATGCATAATTTTTGTTAATTAAAATTTTAAAAATCTGCCAACAATGGCTGGAGAAAGCACCCGGCTGCCTGAGCCCCTACCCTTGTCGGTTACAAGTATTTCATAAGCAGGGTTCGAGGAATCCCATCAGAGAAGAGTGTCCTCACCTCTTTGCCGGAATGTCATACGAAGTTCCTCCTCACCTCTTTGCCGGAATGTCACACCAACTTCCTCAGTGTTCCTCCTACCCCAATCTAGTCAACGTTTCAATGGCTCACCACAGCACACAGTGCCTCTCAGCTGGGCACTCAAGAGTTCTTTCCTAACCTTCCCTAACCTAATTATCAAAAACTTTTCCCCCAAAACGGCCCAGCACATGGTCCAGTCAGTCCCCAAATCGTTTTTCCTCACGGTCTCCTTCCCCAGGGGGCGTCCCCTCCTTCTCTCCCCTTGCAACCCCCGCCGCTACCAGGAGATTAGTCTCCACCCGTCAGGACCCCGCTCAGATTTCACTTCCTCCAACAGGTCCGCTCAGATCCCAATCCTCCGCTCTCAACAGCAGCCAGGATTCCTTTCCCCTGCAAACAACGCCTTCTCTGAACACCCCGGCCGCCGAACGCCGGCTTTGCGTTCCCTAGTTACTTCCAGTCACCCCCGCCCCACTCCCACTCGCGGGGCTTGCGACCAGCCCTCTGCCTCCGGGTGGCCCAGCTCGGAACCCGCAGAGCAGCGCCTCAGAAATCGCAGCCCAGGGCGAGGAAATCCAGAAGCCTCCCGCGGACGTCCCCCGGGACAGGGTGTGGCGGGCCCGGCTCCGAGCCCGCTGACTCCTTGTGAGGAGAGAACCGCAGCGACGCGGAGCCCCTGTGAGTCCACCGCCCGGACGCGCGGCGCAGCGACCCGGAGCCCCAGAGTAGCCGCGGGGTGCCGGGAGGAGTCCAGCCAGCGGCAGCCGTTTCCGTGCCTCCCTACCCCTCCTCAGGGGCTGCGCGAGCCCCTGCCTGAGCCTGGTCCGCCCGAGTGACCGCCAGTTCTCTGGGCGCTCTCTGGGGAGCTCCGGGGCGCACACATCCCGGGACGCGCCCTGTCCGCCCCTGTTCCCGCTCCTGGTCCCAGCTGGGCCGGGTCAGGTCCGCCGCGTCTCACCTCTCCTCTCCACGAACCGACTGGATAACGGTCGGGTCTGGGTCTGAGGAGCCCGGACCAGACCGCACCTGTCTCGGAGCGATTGAGGCGCTGCCTCGCGCCTGACGTCACGGCAGCCCCAAGCGCAACGAACTGGGAGTCACCTGATCACCCTGGCAACGCGCGCGGGGCGGGGCGAGGCGAGGCGAGGCGGGCGTCACAGCACGAGCCCCGCCCCCAGCCGCTCCGCCTCTAAGCGCCGCCGGAAGCTCGCTGCGGCAGTCTACGTTGCTGGACGCGAGGTAGGCGTCTGGCTTTCCTACGCGGGCCTCCCAGCTGCGATGGTTACTTGGGACTCTCACAGGCGTTCCCCTTGGTTGGATCGGTTCTCCAAGACTCCATCCGATGCCCCCACGCCGCTAGTGCAGGTGCCTGCGAGGCAGGACCAGCGTCCATACGGGACTCTGCCCAGTACGTGTCAAGAGGGGTTAGCTACGGGCTGCTGCCTCCTCGTATCGTGTTGATCCAGACCCAGCTAGGTTTGAGGCTTACTTCCCGAACTGTACCTGAGAGGACTGAGGCTGAGGCTGATAACTGGATTGCTCTGTGGCAACTTTTCCCCATAAACCTTGCAACAAGTAGTCCGGCCAGTACTTTAGAGTGTAATAAGACTTCATTTACATCAGGAGGGGGAAAGGGGACAGAACCTTCTGTCCTGAAGAACCTTCTTCTATTCCAACAGAAAGAGAAGTCACCGAAAAGCTCCCAGAGCAAGGCCTAGAACAAGCTTGCAAGTCCTACTTGCCAACAAATTTTTATTTTTCATATTACAAATTGATTTTCTCTCCAGATTCCTTCCCCTTGCTTGCTATTAGGTTGGTGGAAAAGTAATTGTGGTTTTTGAAATTATTGTTATTATTATTATTTTGAGACGGAGTTTCGCTCTTGTTACCCAGGCTGGCGTGCGATCTCGGCTCACCGCAACCTCTGCCTCAGCCTCCTGAGTAGCTGGGATTACAGGCACGCGCCACCATGCCCAAGCTAATTTTTTGTATTTTTAGTAGAGACGGGGTTTCACCACGTTGACCCCCCCTCGTGATGATTTCGATCTCTTGACCTCGTGATCCACCCGCCTCGGCCTCCCAAAGTGCTGGGATTACAAGCGTGAGCCACCGGGTTTTTGCAATTTTTTTAAAAGGCAAAAACAGCAATTACTTTTGCACCACGCTAATATAATGATATGCTTACACCTTTGTGACTTTCTAGTCTTCTCACATGGACTATCCACTTTGAAATTAAAATTTAACATCACCTGGAGGTCTCAGTGTTAGAGTCACTGCCTATTTTATACCTTTACTACTTGCTGACTTTCATTTTAGTTTTACTCTCCTCATCCCTGCACTGTTAAGAAGGTTTCATATGTATTGCAACCTTCCCTCTCAGAGTGTAGGATCTTAGACCAAGAAGTTAATTGATAATCAATTTATTGTGAGCATCTTTTAGTGTCAGGCAATGGGCCATGGGCAGATTGATTGAGATGCGGTCCTTGAAAATGAAACGTGTATGAGTGGTACGTCTCACATTCAAGTATAACTTGTACTGTTTATTATGACTTAATCATAGTATTTAAGTGGTACTTTTAAATTTTTATACTTAGAAAAAAATGAAACATATAAATGGGAAAGACCACTGTGAAAGGTAGAGAAGAATCATGGCTCTAGATAGAGCTGTACTAACAGGAGAGAAGAGATTGAAAATGTGAGCCCAGGTCCCAAGGAGCAAAGAAACATGGTCAGGAGGTTGGTGGGAACAGGACAGAGGCAGCCAGGCCTGAGGTGTTTGGCAGATCTGAGGAGGGCAGGGCTAGAGGGTGAGGGGAGTTGGGCCGGAATGAGGCTTGATGGATTCAATGGAGGGGGAAAGTGCTGGGAAGGGAGGAAGGATTGGAAAGAAAGGAGAAGTAGGCAGTGGTTTGGGAAGGGGTTGCTGAAAGGGAGGGTAGGGTAAATAGAGAACCAGGAAAGGGTGCTAAGAGCATTAAGAGAAGGGAGGCTGAGTGGCTACAAAAGGGAGAACTGATGGGGAGGAAGAAGCAGGTGAGAGACTCTCGGACAGCAAACATCTCAGAACCAGGCAGTAGGTGGTGTCCTTCAGAGGCTGTTAGAGAAGAGTAGCATTGTTTGTTCGCCTCTGAAGAGTGAAGGTCATCCATGCACATCCCATACTATCTTTGGACCATCTGAGGGCAAGAGCCACCCTTTGCAGAGCACTAATGCAGAGGGAAGAGCAGAAGGAGGCACGTCCACAACTATACCTTGATAGGACTCATCAAGACAGTCAGGCTTTTTGGCTGGACAGTTTTTCAGGCCCATGGAACATGGCTCTGTGCCTCTAATCTGGGCAGGGCAAGGTGAGGATGGAGTGGAAGGCAAGGGTAATTCCCTTAGAAGGGAGGCAAGCTTCTTATGGCAGCTGGGACATATGGAGGCTGTGGTGAGGGAGAAAAGATACTAGGACACATTCTCAGTAAGGTCCCTGGCCACTCCCCTTTTACTGAGTTGGTAGGGTCACAGCATAACCATTGAAGGAAAAATAGAACATTCCTCACCCCCACCCCGACATCCATGCTGAGGAAAGTGTTATCATGTGAGTAAAAACTCAAGGAGTATTGTGGGCAGCATCCAAGAACAGAGATGTGGCCAGGGAATGCATCTCACATGGCTCTTTTCTAGGATTTTGACCTCGGGTCCCAGGACTAAGCCCCAAGCCAGTTATAGAAGTTGCTGGAGTTTCATCAAGTGTCTTCACAATAGCAGCGTGGGTTTCCATTCCTGGAAATAAAAGAAAAATGTCAGGGTACAAGGCCCTGACCAAGCATATTTGCTGTGAAAGTCCACTAGTCACAGAAGTTGCAATCAATTTTCAATATTTGTTCATCCAGAAGAACCATCCAAGGATTGTGGAGGCAGCATGGTGCAGTGGTTGGGAGCCTGTGTTTGAGATTTATCCATTTTGTGAACTTGGCCACATTACTCACCTTCTTTGGGCCTCCGCCTTATCTGTAAAATAGGGATAATACCTACCTCACAAAACTATCATAAACTTTAGGTGAATTCCAGGGCAAAGAAACAGAACCCAAACTCATAATATTTTTTAAACAGCAATTTTTTAAACCATTGTATTTTTATTGGATCACATTTGTTCTCTGAACAATTGGATGAAAGAATGTTTCTTGAATGCCTAATGTACACTTAACACTGATGGATACAGAAGGAGCATGTACCCAGGCTTGGTCAGGCATCTGAAATCTGATAGGAAGATGAGACAATGTGAGACCTTGCCAGGCTGCTGTGAAATTGAATGGTAAACTATATCATGTCCTTCCATGCCCTCAGTGTTCATGAAAAGAGGGGCCATGCCAGCTGCATTAACTAAGGTCGGATGCAAGAAAGGAAGGGTCTGGAGCAGAGCCTTGAAAGACAGGCAGGATTGGCCAGGCGCAGTGGCTCACACCTTTAATCCCAGCACTTTGGGAGGCCAAGGCAGGTGCGTCACTTGAGGCCAGGCATTCAAGACCAGTCTGGCCAACAGGGCAAAAACCCATCTTTACTAAAAATACAAAAATTAGCTGGGCATTGTGGTGCATGCCTGTAATTCCAGCTGCTCAGGAGGCTGAGGCAGGAGAACTGCTTGAACCCAGGAGGCAGAGGTTGCAGTGAGCCAAGATTGCACCACTTCACTCCAACCTAAGGTGTTTGGCAGATCTGAGGAGGGCAGGGATAGAGGGTCAGACTCTGTCTCAGGAAAAAAAAAAAAAAAAAAGCAAAAAGATAGGCGGGATTTGGAGAGGTGGTAGGTGAAGAGAGCATTCTGGGTCAGGGCAGTGATCTGAGCACCTGGGGCAGGGGCTCGGTAAATATGTAGCAGCTGGATGAATGAATAAATGAATGAGCAAAGATAATAATGAAATTATCAGCATAGTGTAAGATCAGCCTGATGGATGCTTTGTTGAATGAATGAATGCATGATTAAACAAAAAAGCAAAGACAATGAAATTAGAGAATGGTGGACATAGCCATAAGACCAGCCTGACTGAACTGTGGAAACTGGGGAGTTGTGGAAAATAAGGTAGAGATGGAGCAGACAGTGGAAGAGCTTTTGAGACAGTAGAATCTTCTTGGAGGAGCATGGAGTCTGGATGCAGAGAGAGCAT